GAGAGGGGGTGAGTTGGAAAGTAACTCGCCATTGAGCTTTCGGTGTGACATTGAATTTCATGGTGGAAATAATGTGTTAAATCGGGGGAGAATGTCAATCACGGTTGGTATGCAGGTGTGGAATTTCAAAGAGGAAAATGGTATTTCTTGGAACTAACCAGATTTCCCTACAGCGTAGGCAATCGACAAAAGAGTCGCCGTAATGAACGCTGCACGAAGCATACACACGACGTGAGGCGAAATCAGCGATCGTGTTACGAAGCCTGGTTGGCAGCTGGCAACGAATGAGTTTTGTAGTGAGCTGGCGTTGGTGTCGCGGACTCACGCCAGGGGTAACGCTTACCAAATAATAAGACCCAGCGAGCACGAATGAATGCCATGAGTTAAAGAATATTCAACTGAAATTTGGTTTGCACGCGGGAGCAAGTTACTGCTTCTAGTAAAAAGGTAAATGGAATGCAGAATTGATTTCTAGGGGCTGAGATTACCCTCATATATAGTCACGTTGAGGCTCGGGGAGGGAAGGACCAGAAAGGTCCTGCGGTACGGCTGAAGGTGGAAATTGACGGACAGGATGATCGAAGATTCCGCGAAGGCATCTCAGCCGACAATAATTCGATTTCAAACTCAAAGTCGAGGAGCATCGGGCCATCAATACGACAGCCGAGCGCGTATCTCGGAATGGCATTACCGTCGACTCGACATGTTCGGTCGTCATTCACGCCAACTCCGGCCTGTTACTGGCCGCAACTCAATAATAACGGCTCTAGGCGACTAAAGAGGCAAGCTACGATTGCTTAATCCGAGCTATAAGGGCGTGTCTCTCTCTTTTGTTTTTTTTTGTTTTTGTTTTTTTTTTTTTAATTGTTTTCACGGACAGTCCACTTGTATCAAAACGGACGGTCCCGATAGCGGGCACCGAACAATCCGTTTCAAAATTTCGAAACTTCAGACTGTCCGAAGGCAAAAACGTCACTTTTCCCTACTTCAGAAACTACCGAATAACTGTGGTCTCGCTATAGCTACTGTACCATCGTAACCCCAATCACACACTCTCGCCAGTTTCGCTCACCCCATGGCGGCTCGATTTCAAACATTCACAACCACCCAGCACACCACACAACTCGATACATTGAAACCAGCACACAGACAGACATATACCCATTGCGGGCTGGTTGTGTGGGTTCAGTTCGTATTGCTGGGGGCTTTGTAGTGTTGGTGGGCTAGGGGGTGTAGTGTTGGTTCAATGTTCACGCGCGCGTCGCGGGCCACAAATAATTTGACCATGCGGCTCGATTTTTGTTTTTCGAGTAGTTCGCGGGCCATATCCAGTGTCAGAACTGTGCATCCGTCCGTTTGCAATTCGAACTGCCAAAAGTTCAGAATGTGAATCGTTGCTTGGAGGGAAAAGTGACGCGACATGTTGAACCGTTGGCGACGTCGCCAATACCTTCACGAAACAGTCACGACAAATGGCGAAACTGGTAACATGTTCACAAATCGGACGGTCCACGGTTCGAAGTTGTTGGGATAGGACAAGGCGGAATAGGATAAGGCAAAGCGAAGCAGATGAGGAAAATGAAGTTGTTGGGGTGCAGTGAAGTGAGTCTCTACACGGTAAAACGTGGTTCTGGCAGAAAGTGGGCAGGTGTGCATATTGAGGTACAGTATCTTGATTACGTAGGCTTGTAATTTTGGGGCCTAAAGATAGCACCATAATCAGGACACTTCTATGATGGGATAAAATAGTGGAAAATATGAGAGTCAAGGAGAGATAATGCCATGCCAACATGCATTAATGCACTTTTGGAACTGACGGCTTGATCAACCCATCGCATTCGTTTTGGTCTGCATCTTCCAGTACATATCACATTCCCATCCAGCAAACCTGCCATCCAGCTCCCACAGCAGCTCCCCTACAGGACATATTTGGTGCACATACTTATTCTGAGACGTCTCAAATTCCAGCCAATATTTCGGCATACGAGCCTGCCCTGCCACACGAAGCAGCAGCATAGCAATCAAACAGCCCCCTGCTACGAATACAGGAGCAACTCCTTCTACAGCTCATCCTTTTCTGCTGAACCAACACCTGCACCAGCAGCAGGGTTTAGGGCCTGCAGCAGCTACCGACGGTATCTCAATGTCGGCTTCCACCTCCTCTCATCCCTGTTGCTGCTCCACAACCTGCTGCTGTTGCTGCTACTAGTTCTTCTGGTGCTGCTGCTGCTGCTGCTCGTGAGGGCCATACATGAGGCAGCACAAGAGGGAGTTGGCAGCATCTGCAGCCTGCTGGGCGGCAAGCAGCAGGCCTCCGGCTAGATGCGGAAACTCCTCGCCGTGTGCTTCACCATGACTGCTGCCTTGGGGCGCCTGTACTCGCCATAGCGCCAGTCCTTGGTGGCTATCACTCGTGTTGTCGGGGAGTCAAGGGAGTCTGGAGGGGGGGGAGAAGAGAATGGAGGAGCGACAGAAGGGGGTGAGGGATGAAAGGGAGGGGCGAAACCACCAAGGAGAGTGGTCTAACAGAGAGGGAGGAGATGCAAGAGCGTATGAGGAACGAGTGGGTGGTTGGATGGACGGAAAGGCATTTGTTCCTCTGATTTCCCTGACTGCTCTGGTGGCTTTCACTGAGCTGCTTCCCATCCTCCACTATGCATGCCGCCATGCACGCAACACTATCACGGCCCTCACCAGCGCCCACGCAAGCTGTGCCACCATGCGTGCAACAACACACTGACATGGTATCAGAGCGAAAGTCTTGGGTTCGAATCCCAGTGTATGCACTTCGGGCAACCCAGTGCGGGGGGGTGTCAGAGGTCCACTGGTGATCCCCGATTGATCCTAGGGAAAGAATACAGGCTCGTTGTCCTGGGGGGTTATGGGCGCACTGACCCGCTACTTAATAAGCCTTTTTATCCCAATGGTCTAGTGGTTGGGATTTTGACATGGTATCAGAGTGAAGGTCTCGGGTTCGAATCCCAGTGTATGCACTTCTGGCAACCCAGTGCGGGGGGGTGTCAGAGGTCCACTGGTGATCCCCGATTGATCATAGGGAAGGGTTACAGGCTCGTTGTCCTGGGGGTTATGGGCGCACTGACCCGCTACTTAACAAGCCCTTTTATCCCAATGGTCTAGTGGTTGGGATTCAGACATGGTTTTAAGGCAGGTCCTTCCCTAGGACCGTTTTTTTAGGGCCCACCACAGAGCTGCCCTACTCACTGCCCTGCCGCCCTTACCCTAACAGCGCGCCGCCCTGCTGGCCCACGCGCCGCCCCTTGCAGCCCGTCGCGCCGCCCTTAGCAGCCCGCGAGCTACCCCTGCAGCCCGCTCGCTGCCTCGGCAGCCCGCGCCCCGCCCCTGCAGCCCCGCGCGCCGCCTCTGCAGCCCCGCGCGCCGCCTCTACAGCCCCGCGCGCCGCCCTTGGAGCCCGCGCGCAACCCTTGCAGCCCCGCGCGCCGCCCCTGCAGCCCCGCGCACTGCCCCTGCAGCCCGCGCGCCGCCCCTGCAGCCCCGTGCGCCACCCCTGCAGCTGCTGTACCTCATCTCGTGTCTATGCTGATTGCACCTGAGGGAGACCCGGATGCACCAGACATCCCGACCCCGTGCTCTTACACAGAGGCGATTACGGATCCCTACTCCTCTCAATGGCAGAAAGCCATGGACGCCGAGATGGCATCCTGGAAGTCCACAGGCACTTACGTCGACGCAGTTCCCCCTCCTAGGGCGAAAAAAGTCGATGGCATGTGGATTTTCAGGGTGAAGCGGCCGCCGGGCTCTCCGCCTGCCTTCACGGCTCGTTACGTTGCACGAGGCTTCAGTCAGCGACAGGGAGTTGACTTCTTCCATACCTTCTCCCCTACCCCGAAGATGACTACTCTTCGGGTGTTGCTGCACGTCGCCGCTCAGCGTGACTACGAGCTTCACTCTCTTGACTCCAGCACAGCTTTCTTACAGGGCAGCCTGCACGAAGAGATCTGGCTGCACCGCCCACCTGGCTTCACTGGGTCGTTTCCTGCATGTACCCAGTGGAGCCTCTGGTGGCCAGTCTACGTTCTCCGCCAGGCGCCTCGCGAGTGGCTCGACACACTGAGGACTACATTTTCTGCTCTGGGGTTTACTCCTTCTACTGCTCACGAAGAGGGTACTGCGTTACCTGTGCAGTACGTCGGGCATGGGGCTCGTCCTTGGAGGACGGGGTCCAGTTGTCCTCACTGGACACGCAGCGGTCGCCACAGGGTTACACTTTCAGCCTTGGCTCCGGCTCTGTTTCTTGGCAGTCAACCCGCTCGTCTTCTGTTCTCAGTTCCAGTTGTGAGGCTGAGATCTACGCAGAGGCCATGGCTGCACAGGAGTTACGCTGGCTCACCTATCTGCTGACCGACTTGGGAGAGCGGCCTCGTTCTTCTCCAGTTCTGTACGTAGACAACAAGGCCATGATTGCCTTGTGTCAGGAGCACAGACTGGAGCACAGAACGAAGCACATCGCTCTGCGTTACTTCCTTGCTCGAGAGTTGCAGCAGCGTGGTCAGCTTTGTCTTGCTTACGTGGCCACTAGGGCCAACACTGCTGATATATTCACCAAGGCACTTCAGTTTGGTGATCATCAGCGTTTCTGTACTATTTTAGGCCTTGTGCCTACTTTGCCTCACTTGCTTACTGCGTGACTTTGCTTGTACTGTGATCTATATATGTACTTGCATGCTTACACTTGCTATGGTATGATCACTGTACTATTTGTTCTCTTTTATATAACTTTGCATGTGAACTGGCCTTGTGGCCTTTGCTTGTGCTCAGAGTGTGTGGTGACTTTGTGATCCACCCTGAGCTTGCTTTGCTTTTCTTGACTGGTCTTGTGTCCACTCGTTCTCCCCCACTTTGCCTTTGGGGGTGTGTCAAAATGTTATATAGCTTACTTTGTGTAGGCTATAGTGGGGTAGCCCATAAGGGGTACAACCCAATTAGGGTTGGTACTTGTACCCAACTTCTGTTCAATGCATTTATTCTCGTTCAGTATTCTGATATGCTGCTGCGCCTCCGTGGGCACGAGCAGCAGCACTCGCCGAGGGCGAGACAAGCAGTGCGGCTGCAGCACCCGCTGCAGCTCTGCTGCCACTGCGCTGCCGTCCCGTTCGTGCCTGTTGAGTGAAGCGGAGTGTAAAAAACAGGCAGGGCGGGACGCAGGGATAAGGGACGGAGGAATGGAAGTGAGCAGAGGGCCGCACAGAGTGGTGCAAGGGAAGGTGAGGAGCAAGCGAAGCAGCAAGGGGCACTAGAACAGGAGCAAAAGCTGTAAGAGAGAGGCTTGCGACAATACCACAGGAGAGGCTTGCGACAATACCACAGGAGAGGTTTGCGACAATACCACAGGAGAGGCTTGCGACAATACCACAGGAGCGGCTTGCTACAGGACCACAGGAGAGGCGAGTGATGAGCGCAAGCGCCGCCACCACTTCCACTGTGTTCCCCCGCCCTTGTGCCACCGCGTCTGCCTCCCCCTGCGCCTGCGCGCTCTTCCCTTGCGGGTGCGCCACATGCGCGCGGTCCTTCCTGCCCTCCACCGCCACAAACGCGCACATCTCCACACCGCCGCGCATCCCAGCACCTGCGCCTTGGCCTCCGCCGCTGGTGCAGCTGCTGCCGGGCTGCATGACGAAGCAGGCGGCGGGACTCCTCCGCTGGTCGGACTCGTACGTACGAGCTCCACCACCGCCGCTGGTGGACCTGCCGCCGGGCTGCATGACGAAGGAGGCCGCTGGTCGGACTCGTACTTGCGACCTCCACCACCGTCTGACACAAGCAAAGTGAAGGGAGTGCTGCTCGATCGCGCGCCAGCCACGCGCTCCAGTGGAATTCACTTCGGAGGGGAAGGGGAAGGGAAGGGAGGGAGTGATGCGCCGCGCCCCGCGCTCTCCCTGCACTCCACTCAGCCCCGGATAAGGTGCTGTGGGACTCTCAGATCCACACTCCACTCAGGCCCAGAACGCCTCAAAGAGCCTCACGCTTCAAATAGCGGATGCGACCGTTTCGAGAACCTTGGAGAACGCCGGATACGGGAAAGTAAAGCAGGTACGGCGCGCTCACCCTTGGTCACACTGAATAAGGTGCAGTGGGACTCTCTGTGACATTTGAGACTTCTCACAACTTGGATATGGTTCTCCTTGTGCGGTAATTCTCAAAGAACCGTGAAGGGGAGATTGGAGTAGCGCGTGCGGGGCAAGGAGATGTTATCCACGGAAAGGAGGAGAGGCGCGCACACAGCGGGGCCGCGCAGCGCGACGGGCAGGGCAGTGCGCAGTGCGGCATTCCACGTACCCACGTGCAATGCGCCACCTCGAGCGCAAACAGAGGGAAACGGGAGGCACACACACCCATCTGGCCATCTGGTATTCCCCGGAAGGAAGGGGACTGCGCATGGTGCGCGTGCTACCCCGGTCGCTCGCAGAGTGCGCCACCCGACGCGCGAGTTGATGCACGTGGAAGAGAGACGAGGGGAAGCGCATTGTTTCAGCCTGCATGTGACATGCACTGCTTGAGCCCACGCCTTGGTCACGCCGAACCTACTCGTTTATTGAACAATCGTTTGCGTATCGCAGCAGTTTTGGAGTGTAGCACTTTGTTAGGCTTTAAAAATATTTGGACAATAAGCGTTTGTCACATGAGATATGGATCAAATATACCCCTCGTTTTTTCCAGTGGTAGAATAAGATCCTAGGGTCTTACATGGGTGACCAATCCGTTCACCTTTGCCAATCAATGTGGTTGGCGGTCCGTACGTGGGTGACCAATCCGTTCACCTTTGCCAATCAATGTGGTTGGCGGTCCGTACCTGGGTGAACAATCCGTTCACCTTTGCCAATCAATGTTGTCAGAATACTGAACAGAAAGTTGGGTACAAGTACTAACCCTAATTGGGTTGTACCCCTTATGGGCTACCCCACCACAACCTACACAATGTAAGCACTATATCATTTTGACACACCCCTGTCAGGATGTTATATTTGTCTAGCCTGCAGTGGGGTACTCAATAGTGAGTACAGCCCAATCTAGGGTTTCCTATATGTACTCAACTGCCTGCTAGTGCAAACTCCCTTTCTCGTTTCTAAATCTTGACTGTTGTTTCCAACATAGAATCAGAGCAGGTCGACCTTCACGGGTCGATCCTGTGCATGGGCCCACCTAAGCTTCCGCTGTCATCACTGCCCATTGCGCGCCTCGAGCGCGCGCTGTCTTTCTGCCTGTCGCGCGCCCACGGCGCGCGGTCATTTTTCTTCCCGCCGCGCGCTAGTGGCGCGCGGCGGTTTTCTGCCCGTCACGCCGCCCTCCAGAGCGCGCGACGCCCTGCCTGCCCGTCGTGCGCCCCGAGGCGCGCGACGGTGCTCTGCCTGCCTGCCTGCCTGCCTGCCCGTCGTGCGCCCCGTGGCACGCGACGGTGCCCTGCCTGCCCGTCGTGCGCCCCGTGGCGCGCGACGGTGCCCTGCCCGTCGTGCGCCCCGAGGCGTGCGGCGGTTTCGTCGCCTGTCGCGGCGCACCGGGGGCCCGCGCAACCCCCCCCCCCCCCCCCCCCCCCCCCCCAAGGTCGCCTCGACAGGCGACGGGAGGGGCGACCTGGGGGGGGGGCCGCGTCAACCCCTTCTGTCGCCCGTCACGGCGCCCTGGGGGGACCGCGCGTCGGCCCCTCCCGTCTTCCTCGCGGCCCGGCCCCTGCCCTGTCGTCCTGCCCCGGCCCTGTCGCGGCCCTGCCCCCCCCCCCCCCCCTAACCTCCCTACCCGCCAGCTACCGCCCTCCCCTTTGTTAGGGTTTGGGGGTGGCGAGTATGGGGTGGTGGGTCTGTGCGACTTCCCCTGCTCCTCCTCCTCCTCCTCCGTCTCCCACTGCTGCAGCTGCCGCTGAGGGGGGTGGGTGTGTGGGAGCCTACGGAGTAGTGCTAGGGGGTGGAGTGTGAGTAGTGCTAGAGGTGCAGCAGGGGGTGTGTGAAAGGGGGGTGCGACAGTGGGGGAGGTTGAAGGGAAGTAGCCGTCGTGTTGCCAGCAGTGCCAGTAGTCCGGAGGTGCGCTTCCGGTAGCCCAGTGATGCTGCTGCGCCAGTCGCCCGTGGGTCCGTTGCTCCTGCCGCTCGTCTTAGCCGCGGAGCCAGTTACTCCTGTAGTCCGGAGGTGCGCCTCCGGTAGCCACAGTGCGCGCCGCTCCTGTTGCCCGTGTGTCTGCAGCTTCAGCCGTTGCCTCCTCTCTCCTTTCCTATCAGTCCAGCCTCCTCCTCCTCACTTGCCCTCTGTGATAGCCTCTAGCTTTACTTACTGCTGTGAACTATAAACTGCTACTTCCTGTACTTGTGCTCAGAATGTGTGGTGACTTTGTGATCCACCCTGAGCTTGTTTTGCTTTGCTTGTTGTGCTGATTACACCCCACTTTGGCTATGGGGGTGTGTCAGAATGTTATATTTGTCTAGCCTGCAGTGGGGTACTCAATAGTGAGTACAGCCCAATCTAGGGTTTCCTATATGTACTCAACTGCCTGCTAGTGCAAACTCCCTTTCTCGTTTCTAACTCTCAACTGCTGTTTCCAACAACCCCCATAAGCAAAGTGGGGGAGAACAAGTGGTCACAAGACCAGTCAAGAAAATAAGAACAAGCTCAGGGTGGATCACGAAGTCACCATACATTCCAAGCACAAGCAAATGGCCACAAGGCCAGTTCACATGCAGAGTTATATAAAAGAGAAAAAACAGTACAGTGATCATACCCTAGCAAGAGTAAGCATGCAGGTATACATATATCACAATACAAGCAAATTCACGCAGTGAGCAAGTGAGGCAAAGTAGGCAGAAGGCCTAAAATAGTACCGAAACGCTGATGATCACCAGACTGAAGTGCCTTGGTGAATATATCAGCAGTGTTGGCCCAACTGACCACATACGCAAGACGAAGCTGACCACGGTGCTGCAACTCTCGAGCAAGGAAGTAACGCAGAGGGATGTGCTTCGTTCTGTGCTCCAGTCTGTGCTCCTGACACAAGGCAATCATGGCCTTGTTATCTACATACAAAACTGGAGAAGAACGAGGCCGCTCTCCCAAGTCGGTCAGCAGATAGGTGAGCCAGCGTAACTCCTGTGCAGCCATGGCCCCTGCGTAGATCTCAGCCTCACAACTGGAAATGAGAACAAAAGACGAGCGGGTAGACCGCCAAAAAACAGAGCCGGAGCCAAGGCTGAAAGTGTAACCCTGTGACGACCGCTGCGTAGCCAAGTCGTCAACCCAAGAAGCGTCTGCGTGTCCAGTGAGGACAACTGGACCCCGTCCTCCAAGCACGAGCCCCATGCCTGAAGTACTTCACAAGTACCGCAACACCCTCTTAGCGTCCTCCCAGTGCTCTGGTCGGTGTCTCCCGGGCACAACGTAGCGTGCAATGATGCTAAGAGGGTAGGCAAGGTCAGGTCGAGTGCAGGTCATCAGGTACATGAGGCAGCCCACAAGCTCTGGATATGAGCCACTCGGCTCTACAGGCTTGTCCGACAGGTGGAGCTGAGAGCGAGTGGACTGTGGCGAGGAGTACCGGAAGCCGAAGCGCTGAAGGACCTGGTCCACCATATGTGACTCAGTCAGGGTGATGGTGCACCGTGCCCTATCCCGGGTGATCCGCAAGCCAAGATAGCTGTGCAACTCACCCAAGTCAGTCCAGGTGTGTCTCTTCTACAGCTCCGACTTCACAAGGGTCAGTGCCTCAGTGTCAGCAATGGTAAAGACCAATTCGTCGACATACACGAGGACATAGAACAGCGGCAGAGAAGTGTTAGTGCGGAGAAACAGCGATGGGTCAGCAGTAGAAGGAGCAAACCCAAGAGCCGCAAGCGTCGTCCTCAGTGTGTCGTGCCACTCGCGAGGCGCCTGGCGGAGACCGTAGACTGGCCGCCGGAGGCTCCACTGGATACCTGCAGGAAACGACCAAGTGAAGCCAAGTGGGCGGCGCAGCCAGATCTCCTCGTGCAAGCTGCCCTGCCAGAAAGCTGTGCTGGAGTCAAGATAGTGCAGCTCGTAGTCACGCTGAGCGGCAACGTGCAGCAGAAACCGAAGAGTGATCATCTTCGGGGAAGGGGAGAAGGTCTGGAAGAAGTCAATTCCCTGTCGCTGACTGAAGCCTCGTACAACGTAACGAGCGTTGAAGACAGGCGGAGAACTCAGCGGCCGCTTCACCCTGAAAATCCACATGCCATCAACTATGTTCGCCCCAGAAGGGGGAACTGCGTCGACGTAGGTGCCTGTGGACTTCCAGGATGCCATCTCTGCATCCATGGCTGTCTGCCACTGAGAGGAGTAGGGACTCGTAATCGCCTCTGCGTAAGAGCGCGGGGTCGGGATGTCTGGTGCATCCGGGTCTCCCTCAGGTGCAAGCAGCATGGCCACGAGATGAGGTATAGCAGGTGCAAGCCACTCAAAGTCCTCCTGCCTTTCTTCAAGGACGTCCGTGCCAAGAGCACACTCACCCCCGATGGACGGAGGACCGTCAGACTCAGACTCAGCAACAAGACTAGTGGCGTAGTCAAGACGACAGGCGGCAGCAAAGTCAATAAGCTCAGCCACTAGGGCAGACGCAGCAGTGGACTCAAACGAATGGTCAGTGACAACAGTGGCTAGAACACGAGGGACAGTAGGACTGGCAGCACGAGCTAAGTCAGACTCAGGGTCAGGAACGGCAGGAAGAGAGGACGCAGGAGGAGGCGGCAGGGGAATTCGCAGTGGAACAGAGGAAGGACGAAGTGCCATAATGTGAGTGCCGGGGACAGGAGGAGGACGCGGACGAGGAACACGACGACCAGTGCGAACAGCGCGAACAGGCAAGGCAGGACGAGACTCAGGCTCACGAAACTCTGTAAAAAAGTATGTCTGCTCAGCGTAATGAGAAGGAGCAGGCAGTGGGGATTCTGGCTGTAACTGTGACTGCGACTGGTGGGGCGGTGGACTCAGTAAGCTAGGAGGAAGGCCAGTAGAAGATGGGAGACTAAGAACCTGGCGAAGGATCGAGTCAGGTGGCGGTAGAGACGACGGCTGCGGCGGAACAAAAAACGGTCGCCGCTGCACAGTGCCTCCAGCGCCAGGACTGCCAACTCCAGCACCTCAAGCGCCAGCACCTCCAACTCCAGGATCTCCAGCATTTAGCGCCTCCAGCACTAGCGCCTCCAGCTCCAGTGCCTCCAGCTCCAGTGCCTCCAGCGCCAGTGTCTCCAGCTCCAGCGCCTCCAGCTCCAGGGTCTCCAGCCCCAGTGCCTCCAGTTCCAGGGGCTCCAACACCACCAGCTCCGGCAGCTCCAGTACCCCTAGTACGAGCACCTCCAGGACCAGCAGCTCCAGCACCTCCGGTACCTCTAGGTACAGCTGTAACTCCAGCACCTCTAGGACTAGAAGCTCCAGCTCCAGTGCCTCCAGCTCCAGCACCTCCAGCGCCAGTGCCTCCAGCTCCAGGGTCTCCAGCTCCAGGGTCTCCAGTACCAGAGTCTCCATTAACACCAGCTCCGGCAGCTCGT